GGGAGTGGGAGAGGGAGAAGCAGGCTTCCCGCAGAGCAGAGAGCCCGATGCGGGACTTGATCCCAGGATCCTGAGATCATGACCTGAGCTGAAGGCAGATGCTTAACGACTGAGCCACCCAGGCGCCCCTCAAAGTCTTTTTAAGCAAGTATTTGTTAGAATGTTTTATCTATAAAACTTTCCTGGGGCACCTAGCCGGCTCAGTCAGTAGAGCACGCGACTCTTGATCTCAGGGTCATGAGTTCGAGCCCCACACTGGGCACAGAGATTAAGGGAAAAAAAAAAAGTTTTCTCTTCTCTTTATGTTAATTATATATACACGTGTATATATGTGTGTGTGTATATATATATATATAAATATATATATAAATTCCTGTCATTACCTGGAAATGTATTCACTGCTTTCTTTCTGTAATAATAGTTAAGATTTATTTTGGCATTACTATGTGCCAGATGCTGTGTACCTCACATAACATGTCAACTCATTTACTTCTCACAGTGGCTCTAAATGGCAGACATTATTCTCACTAACAGTGAAAAAACTGAGACTCAGAAAGGCTAAGTAATGTATCACTAGAAGTTGTTGAAAGCAGGATTTAATCTCCAGCATGTCTGACTGGAAAGCCTGTGTTAGTAGGTCAAATTACTCTCCCAGCAAAATAACAAGAATCCTGGGATAGCGCAGGGAAGAACCGCGACATCTTACCTTGGCTAATGTGAGTCAAGGCATTGCTGCAACTGTCTACTGTTACAAATGAAAAGTTGGTCAGAGCCAACCGCTTTAATCCAAATATATACCACTCTATAAACCACCAAGTACAACAGTTTCAAATTTTGGAACTTTTACAAAATTCCCAAGGTCCTAATTATAGAAAACATGTGAAGTGATAAATCAACAACCCGATGAACATTAAGAGTATGGCAATGTTATTTTACATGCTTTCAAGTACATTTGATTCTTACCAGATTTCATTTCCAAAAGTGTATTGTTATCAATTTCATGGTTGGCTTTTCCGGGGGGAGGCACTCGCAATGGTATGATCTGAGGAACACACACTGAGCCTGCAGTCATTTTCCCTCCTTACATTAAAAAAAGTGGATGAAAATCAATTCCAATGGGCACCTTTTTGAACACAAAAGTTGAAGAGAAGCACTTTGTTTAAATACAGCAAACCTAGTAAAAACTAAGAGAATGCCACCAAAAACGTTTTTAATTCAAATAATTATTATTTCAGCTGCATTTTTGCTGTTGAGGTCTTGTGTGGGATTTTGATTATCTAAATACTTACCTCACATCTGGGAAAAGAGCATGAACAAATGGGATGGGGAAATGACGTTATTTTAAATGAACAAATTAGATGAATACAATAGTCCCCCCACCTTATCCATGGGGGAAATGTTCAAGACCCCCAGTGGATGCCTGAAACTATAGATAGTGCCAAACCCTATATGTACTGTTTTTTCCTATACATATATACATATGACAAAGTTTAATTTATTAATTAGGCCCAGTAAGAGATTAACAACAACAATAATAAATAGAACAATTACAATGGCATACTATAATAAAAGTTATGCAAGTGTGGTCTCTCTCAAAATATCTTATTGTACTGTACTCACCCTTCTTGTGATGAAGGGAGATGATCAAATGCCTACATGATGAGATGAAGTGAGGCGAATGATCTAGTTACTGTGATGTGGCGTTAGGCTACCACTGACCTTCTGACATCAGAAAGAGGATCATCTGCTTCTAGGCCCCAGTTGACTGCAGGTGAGAGAAACTATGGAAAGCAAAACTGCAGATAAGGGGAGACTACTGTACATCAGAACAGAGACCATCAGTCCTGATCTGATCTGAGCTTCCCCTAAATCATTATCACCTTTTCCTGCCTCTTGTTAACATGCCACCTCTCTTGGCTTCAGGGCAAGTCATCACCCAAGAGGAACAGAAGTAACTCTGTATGTGGCATGAAATGTTAATTTAGAGCCAGCTCCCTTGGGAAAGCTCCAGGTTCAAGGCCCTGCTGTTGTCGCCAAGTCGTTCTTGCATTTGAAATCTGCAAAGAGTACCATGCCTCAGCCGAAAGAAAGTTGGCACTGATTTAAACAGTGAGCAACAAGCAAAAAGTCTCCCACTCTCTCTCCTGCATTTATAAATAATTAAGTATAAGTATGGAGGCCTTACTGATCTTTTTTGGTGGGATGGAGTATAATTCTTAATGCATAAAGGATAAAGGGGGGGAAGGAACCCTCACCTTAATACAACAACGATTTACATCTCTATGCAGCCTTTTCAAATTTTAACGATTATGGATACATAAGTTTCACTCAGTTATAATCTATATGTTCATTCAGTTTTTATAGTGTACTTCTTGCACCCTCACTCGTTTATTTACAATTTTCCACATACTTATATAATCTTATTTATTAATTTGTGGTTGGGCATTTAGGCTATTACTAGTTTCTTTTTAGTTTTGGTTGGTGCAATTCTAAATAATGCTGCTCTGACCAACTTCTGGTTTGAATTTTGCCACAGACTACATTCCCTAAAGTTGGATAACTAAGTTTAAGAAGTGAATTTAGTGCCTGGTTGGATAGTTCCAGGTCAGAGGCTAAGAATTTAAATTGCAGATTCTGATTTTAGCGTAATAGCCTGTACAGAAGGATGGCTGGACTCGGGGAAGGGAGAGGGAGGGAAGAAAGAGGTGCTGTTACTCATTTTTCCATTTAAGTAAGAGGCAGTTAAAATTAAAACAGTTGAAAAATTAGTCCAAAAAACAAAAAATCGGAGAGTAATACGCGCCGCAATTTGGAGCTACTCTTGGGAGGCTGGGGCGGCCAGTGGGCCCCAAGCAAAGAGGATCAAGAAGTAGACCGACATGCTAGGCCCAAATGACAGTATGGGATCAATAGCACCCGTAACCCCTTAACTCCTTCCATCAATACCGCCCCCTCGCCGCCCGGATCCGGAACCCCATCCGGTCCCTGTCCCTGTCCATCAGGGGCAAATAAGGACGCCCGCTTCCTTTCGGCTGGAGCGAGGGAGGCCCTTCTCCTCCTCCATCCCGCCTCCTCCGGCCACCGGGACCTGTATTGGGGCCCCGAGGTACCGCCACGGTCCCCAGTCAGGAAGCCCACCTCTCACCTCCTCTTGCCCTCTCCTCGGCCGCCTCCTTGGGTTTCCACAGACGCTGCGAGTCGGGCCCCGCCCACGAGAGTCGAGCAGGTGATTGGCGGAAACTGCCTTCCTAGCAACCAGCTCCGCCCCTGCCGCTAGGCCCGGAGACTGGTACCGGCCTCGAGCGCCTTTCCTAAGGCTTCACGGCAGGCCTCTGAGAATATGCCTTCACCGACATTGGGTGCTCGGAGGTGGCGTCCCAACTCAGAGTGAGGGAACCAGGCTCGTTCGTCCGACAGGCATTGACTTTCTGAAAAACAAGATGTAGCGGCGCGGGCAAATGAGGCGGATCAGGCGCGCCTTGGCCACCTCAAGCCGACAGAACAAGTAAAGGACCGGCTGCGACACGAGGAAGAAGGCCCCTTCCCAAGCCGGGCGCAGTTTTTCCCCTATTCCCGGTTCCTCGGTTCCCGGACTGGCTATCTGGCGACCCCGAGCGTCTCTCCCCACAGGGGCCGGGAACTAGGCAGTCATGGCTGAGGTGAAAGTGAAGGTGCAGCCGCCCGACGCGGATCCGGTCGAAATAGAAAACAGGTAAAACCAGTGAGGCTCGCTTCCCGGCTCTGGAGCCCCCCGCGGGCGGCCGGACGTTTGGGCAGCCGGACCCCTTCTCCCGGGACCCTCGGTAGATACCGGCGCGCGCAGGAAGGAGACTGGGGATTTGGAACCCCTCTCCCATCCCTGGAACGTAGACTTCTTAAGAAGTTCCGAGGGAGTTTGACAGTTTGTAACTTTCTGTATCTCCCCTTGCCCCGGTGCTGTTCTGAAAGTTGTGATGATGTGCTTCCTTCCTGCATTAAGGTGATCTACGCCCGGAGAGGACTCGGCGTTTTTACCGTAGTACTTGTAGCTACATATTCTCATCCAGGATCGCTGTTGTCGCTAAGGGAACTCTCAAGACAGAACATTTGGGCGAAGTTAGGATGCAGTTTGTGGTTTTTGAAGAGACATTAAGCCAAATGGTTTCCGTGCAGTACTTAAGTCAAGATTTTAGGTCACCTAAAGCCTCTCCTAATTTTAAATTCGCTATCCGTGCACTATTTTTAGGTTCACATAGTTTTAGAAGACCTTAACTTTCTCAAACTTATGAAAACACGTATGATGATCCTATGACAAAGGGGATATTTGGGCTTATTTTTGTTTGGCAGAGATAATTCCAAAAGCAAGCCCCAGTTATGGTGACTTGTCATAACAAATTTTGCCTTCCTACCAGAAGTGTCTGATTTGCCTTCTCCTTGCAGACTTATGGCTGCCCAGCGTACTGAATATTTATTTTGTCATACTTGTTCTGTCTGAGAACATTGGAGCCTCAGCTTTAATATTTTTTTCTGTGTTTTCATTTGACTTTTGTTCTAATTTAAAGTTCATATTAGTGAGAAAAAGAAACACTCTTAAATAATAGTAATAATGTAAACATGTATTTATCTTGCCCAATTTCTAACATGCTTTGATTCAGAACCATCATAGAAACCTAGATTATCTGATTTTAGCATGGGGCCCTTGGGTGGCTCAGTAGATAAGCGTCCAACTCTTGATTTCAGCTCAGATCATGATCTCAGGGTTGCAAGATCGAGCCCCACATTGGGCTCCGTGCTGGGCGTGGAACCTGCTTAGGATTCTCTCTCCCTCTCCCTCTGCCCTTCCCTCCTTACCGCCCCCCCAACTAAGCCTCCCACTAAAAACAAATAGATTATCTGCCAAATGTGAATAAAGGCACGATTTCTTTCTTTCTTTCTTTCTTTCTTTCTTTCTTTCTTTCTTTTTCTTTCTTTTCTTTTTTTAAGACTTGGAACCTTAAATGGAATTTTTTTTTTGCTTCTTTTTTATTTTGTCATGTTATGTTAATCACCATACATTACATCATTAGTTTTTGATGTAGTGTTCCATGATTCATTGTTTGCGTATAACACCCAGTGCCCTCTTTAATACCCATCACCAGGCTAACCCATCCCCCCACTCCCCTCCCCTCTAGAACCCTCAGTTTGTTCTCAGAGTCCATAGTCTTTCATGGTTCGTCTCCCCCTCCAATTTCCCCCCCTTCATTTTTCCCTTCCTACTATCTTCTTTTTTTTTTAACATATAATGTATTATTTGTTTCAGAGGTACAGGTCTGTGATTCAACAGTCTTACACAATTCACAGCACTCACCATAGCACATACCCTCCCCAGTGTCTATCACCCAGCCACCCCATCCCTCCCACCCCCCACCACTCCAGCAACCCTCAGTTTGTTTCCTGAGATTAAGAATTCCTCATATCAGTGAGATCATATGATACATGTCTTTCTCTGATTGACTTATTTCACTCAGCATAACACCCTCCGGTTCCATCCACGTCGTTGCAAATGGCAAGATTTCATTCTAAAGGCACAATTTCAAACTGTTCTGCTTGTATCCCCGCCCCCCCACCTCTTGAAATAGGTAAAAACATGAATAATATTGATACTGCCTTTCTTCCTAGGATTATAGAATTATGTCATCAGTTCCCTCATGGAATCACAGACCAAGTAATTCAGAATGAAATGCCTCATATAGAAGCCCAGCAGCGGGCAGTGGCCATCAATAGACTGTTGTCCATGGTAAGGCAAATTCAACTAGTTCACGTAACCATTTATGTGCTGTGATTGTCATTACTTCCTAGTATGTGAAACCATTCAAAAGTGTCTTAGGTTAAGACTTCAAGCCAGGAAGCGGCTCAGACTGCCTGAACTGAGGAAGGAAGAAATAATTACACATCATTTCATAAGATGAATGAGGGGCACCTGTGTGGTGCAGTCGGTTAAGCATCTGACTCTTGGTTTCCATTCAGGTCATGATCTCTGAGTTGTGGGATCAAGACCCATGTGGACTCTGTGCTCAGTGGAGAGTCTGCCTGAGATTTTCTCTGTCCCCCTCCCTCTGCGCGCCTCCCCCGTGTGCTACCTCTCTCTCAAATAAATAAATAATTTTTAAAAATGAATAAAATAAATGTATTTTGTTTTAACCATTGTATTTGTTGACCTAATTGTCATCGTGTACACAGGGCACATAGGGCTAGTCTGCTCTCACCTTCTGTTTACTTCCTGCTGCTGATGTTGGACCATTGCCTATGAAATATGCCCTCTGCCAGCTATCACAGAGTCAGTTCGTTAGGGTTTCTCCCTCCACAATTTCACTTTGAGCATTTCAGGAGGCAGGAATGAGTCCACTAACACTACAATGGGGTTTTTCAATGAAGCCCTTCTACCTGCTTTTACCTCTTCTCTTGTCCTGGGGCCTTAGTGTCATTCTCCTCCACTGTCCAAAAATACCCCCACCTTGTGGCACCCCATCCTCTAAGTCTACCTAATTCTCCTTCCATTTCCCCTACATCAGAGATCCCCTGTCTTGAAAGCATTTCACTTTGGTCATAGTAGAAATTGGGTAAAAGATTTCTACACTAAGGACTCATGGAAATTTGAGGACAGGTGAACTTTGTTAAACTACTCCCTTCAACCTTCTAGCTTAATGGCTGGAAAACTTTTTCTGTAAAGTGCCAGATAGTATGTATTTAGGCTTTGCAGGCCATGTGGTTTCTGTCACAAGTACTCAACTCTACAGGAAAGTAGCCATGGACCATACATAAACAAACGAGCATGGCTGCATTCTAGTAAAACTTTATTTATAAAAACAAGCAGTGGGCCAGATTGCTGATCTCTCTTTTAGTACTGCTGGTGATCTCTAATCAGTTCACCCTGGTGAAGGACTTGGCTCCAGGAGGGATAGTGGAAGGGATGCTGGAAGTTGTGGCAATGGAAACTGTTTTTGTCCTCTGACTACCCTTTCAGCCCTTTGCTTTCTGTCTGAAAATCATCCTCAATATCTCCCCCTCTCTTTCTCCACCTCTGCAGTCCCATCCACTGCCAGTCCTGTTGTCTGGAGGATATAAGCAGTGGTGGAGCTGTGATGAATTTTAAGGGAATAAGTATTAGTAAATCACAAAGTGTTGCTGATTTTAGCTCTTAAACAGCTCTCAGATTTGCCCCCTCATTTCCATTCCTACTACTCCCGCGTGTGTTCAGGTCTTGGCTTTTTCCTGGACTATTACAGTGTATTCTAACCCGCTCTCCTGGCTCCGTCTGCCTTAGAGAAGCCAGCCTGATCATCTTAAACACAGATCTGGCCAAGTCACTTCTGACCCAGAATCTCAGCCCTAGAGATTCAAGTCCAAACTTGTGGCTTTACCACACTGAGCTGCTACCTTCCTCACCTGCCTCATCTGCCACCACTCTGCCTCAAAACTTAACTTTCAGAGAATGGATTGTTTTTGGTTCCCTGCCGCCTCATGCCTCAGGTCCTTTGTCTTCCCTGGTTAGAACGCCCTTCTTCCCTTTCCTCACAGACTAACTCCTCATTATCCTTCAAGACTCAGCTCCGCTTTCTGTCTCCCAGAAAGCCTCCCTGAACCCCAGGTTGGGCCAAAGCTGCTGCTCTGAGCGCCTGTTCTACTCTTCAGTTACCTCTATGTTAGTTGAGATAAGTTGATAGTTGAAATTAGCTGTGTGATTCTTTTAGAATTCAAGTTGGTGCCCCCAAACATATATCACAGTACGGGTGTTCAGCAAACATTCATAGGCTGAATTAAACAACCTCCAAATGGAACTTTGTGGTTCAATTTTGCTACTTAGTGGGGTCCGGGGAGGAAGTTATTGCTTTTCATCCATATGTAAACCTGTTTGCAAGTCATGTGTCATCCCAGTCTTTACTCACGGAAATGGGGCCCCTCAGTCATGGGTTCCCCAAACTGCCAGAAGCCCAGTGGTACAGCCACCTAAGTGCTCCGGTGTTCAGACCCAAGGAATTTCCAAATCACATCAGACAGGCTTTACTTTACTTTTGACTTGTTATATAAAACCAAAACTATTGCATCTTTTATTCATTGCTTGATCTTTCTGCCTAACTGTCCATGTAATACAATAGAAATCACACAGATCAGTAAATGTCACTATTAACATTGCAAATTTTATTTGATCATCATGTTATAGAATATTTATGCATGTTAGTCTTTGAACTTTTTATTTATATAAATTATATTTTCATTTTTACGTTTATATTATATATACTTAGTGAATTTATTCGAATTTGAATGTGGGTTTTTATTTATTACTCTAAAGCTG